ACCTCATTACAGGTGGTTATGAGCCACCATGTGGTTGCTGGGAATTGAACTCAGGACCTTTGGAAGAGCAGGCAATGCTCTTAACTGCTGAGCCATCTCTCCAGCCCCCAGCAGCAGGCATTTTTAGAGAGGGCTTTGGGCAGGGATCAGTTCCGGAGAGAAGGACTGGTCACAGTGGTGATGAGAGGTGTGGTGTCCGGGTGAGTGGAGCAATGAGCTGCAGGAGGGTGGCCATGTGCAGGAGACACAGCCAGCCAGGGACAGAGACACTTGAGGGGCCGCTTCCAGGGACTAGGCACACAGAGGTGCCCTTCCCTAGAGGGGCAGAAATATTAGGTTTGGCGGAAGACTGGAGTTCTATTTTGGGAAGGTGGAATTTGGATATAAGTGGGGAGCAGGAGGGTTGGGGTCCAGAAAGAGGGTGTGGCTCTCGCCATCAGCTGCTGGACGGCTGCTGACCCTCTTGGACCAGCTCCTTTGGAAGAGGAGGAGTGTGCTTGGGGGAGTGGCTGGAGAATGCTGGTCCTGCTAGAACAGCCTTGTTGTGGGTCAAGTAGTGAATAGAAAGATTTTTTCCATTCTCGAGGGAGAGACACGGGGCTGCTGCAGACGCCTCACGGACATCTCGCTGTGTTCTCATTTTAAGTTGGGAGAGATTAAAGTCGCTTGGAATTTGGAAGGAAGATTGGAGAAGAGGTTGTGGATACAGGAAAGGATGGTATGGAGGTTGGGACTTCTGTTGGGAGGAGGGGGAACCTCTTTCACTGTAAAAGACAACAGAAGCTGGCTTGGGGGAAAGGAGGGGAAACTCTGAGGGTTGTAAACGAGAGTTGGCTTGGGACTCCTTGATCAGGGTCAGAGTCAAGGGCATTTGATGGAGCAGGGAAGACAGGGAAGAAAGGAAGACGGAGGCAGGGGCACAGGAACACAGGGTTGCAGAGCTGGGCGGGGCCTGGATGAGGGTGGAAACTGGGAGTTTGCTGAACTTGAGAACTTTTCTAAGCAGGAGTGATGGGAAAGTTGTGGGGAATAGAAGTGACAAGCTGGAGGGCTGGTGGCATGGGGAGGGCACCGGGAGGGCGCAGAGGGAGGAAGCAGCTGGAACTGTCAGCGTGCTAGAGAAGAGAAGACTCTAGGCCTGGGACGCTCCACAAGCTCCCTCCTGAGTCCCTTTGGGCTATTATGACAAAATATAGCCTAGGTTACTGGTGAGCAGGAGAAATGTGATTTTATTTGTTTACTTTCCCCGGGGGCCTTCCTTTTTTCCTCCTCCTTCTTTTACTTCCTCTCTTCTTTTCTTTCAATATATTTACCTATTTCTCTGTGTGAAAGATATATGTATGTATTTGTGTCTTCCTTGATTTCTCTCTGTCTTTGTTTGTTTGAGACAGGGTTTCTCTGTGTAACTCTGACTGTCCTGGGAACTCCCTCTGTAGACCAGGCTAGCCTCGAACTCACAGAGTTCTGCCTGCCTCTGCCTCCCAGGTGCTGGAATTAAAGGCGTACATAGCTATTATTTTTAATTTGTGTGTGTGTGTGTATGTGCACACGAATGCTAGAGTGCCTTGAGCAGCCAGACATAGGAGGATCTTGGGTTCACAGGCATCCTGCAGCTACATAGCAAGACCAGCTTGGGTCAGGCATGGTGTCCCATGTCTATAGTCCTGACACTCAGGCTGGTCTCAGGAAAACAAAACACAGAGGACTTGGGGGAGGGTGGGGTGGTGACTCTGTTGGTAAAATGCCTGCCTGACCATTCCAGAACTCAGGTAAAAATTGGGCACAGGGGCACATGCATGTACCCAGATTGGGGTTCAGGAGGATCTCTAGCCTGAGTGTCAGGATTATAGACATGGGACACCATGCCTGACCCAAGCTGGTCTCGCTATGTAGCTGCAGGATGCCTGTGAACCCAGGATCCTCCTGCTCTGGCTGCCCAGCTCTAAGATGAAGTATGCGCCACGGTGCCTAGCTCAAGGAAGTTTTTGCTCACAGTTTTGGAGATGGGGGGGGGGGGGGCGGATCTAAGAACAAGGTCCAGAAGATCCGGTGTTTGGTGAGGGCCTGTTCCTCACAGATATCACCTTGCGGTTTGAGGACCTCTCTTGGGTCTTCTTTATTTTGGGGAGAGAGAGAGAAAAAAAGCCAGGCAGTGGTGGCACATGTCTTTAATCCCAGCAGAGAAAGGTGGATCTCTTAGTTTGAGACCAGCCACAGAAACCCTGTCTTGAAAAAAAGGAAAAAGAAAGAAAGAAGAAAGAAAAAAACTGTGTTTATGTGTGTGACTATTTTGCCGGCTGGTGTGCTTATGTACCATATGAGTGTCTGGTAGAGGCGAGAAGAGGGTGTCAGACCCCCTGGAGCTGGAGTTAGAGATGGCTGTAAGCCTCCGTGTGAGTGCTGGGAATGCAGGTTCTCTGCGAAAATAGTCAGTGCTTTTAACTGTTGAGCCATTTCTTCAACCCCACTTTTGATGTTGTTTTGTTTTGTTTGTTTTTCTTTTTTTTTTTAAATGTTTATTTTATTTATTTATTATGTATACAATATTCTGTCTGTGTGTATGCCTGCAGGCCAGAAGAGGGCACCAGACCCCATTACAGATGGGTGTGAGCCACCATGTGGTTGCTGGGAATTGAACTCAGGACCTTTGGAAGAGCAGGCAATGCTCTTAACCTCTGAGCCATCTCTCCAGCCCCATTGTTTGTTTTTCAAAACAGGGTTTCTCTGTGTAGTAATTCTGGCTGTCCAGGAACTCACTCTGTAGCCCAGACATCCTATCTGCCTCTGTCTTCCAAGTGCTGTGATTAAAGGTATGTGCCATTCACCCCTGCCCCGCCCCATCTCTTCAGCCACATTGTTTATTGAATAATTTTGAGATGAGGTCTTACCATAGGCTGGCCATCCTCCTGCCTCAGGCTCTTAAGTGCTGGAATTGCAAGTGTGACCCACCAGTCTCAGCCCTTCCCTCTTCCTTCTCCTCCTCCTCCTCTTCCTCCTCTTCTTCTTTTTTTTTTTAAAGATTTATTTATTTATTTATTATGTATACAGTGTTCTGTCTGCATGTATGCCTGCAGGCCAGAAGAGGGCACCAGATTTCATTACAGATGGTTGTGAACCACCATGCTGTTGCTGGGAATTGAACTCAAGACCTCTGGAAGAGCAGTCAGTGCTCTTAACCTCTAAGCCATCTCTCCAGCCCCCTCCTCTTCTTTTTTTTTTTAAATATTTATTTATTTATTATGTATACAGTATTCTATCTGTGTGTATGCCTGCAGGCCAGAAGAGGGCACAAGACCTCATTACAGATGGTTGTGAGCCACCATGTGGTTGCTGGGAATTGAACTCAGGACCTTTGGAAGAGCAGGCAATGCTCTTAACCACTGAGCCATCTCTCCAGCCCCCCCTCCTCTTCTTTTTTGAGACAGGGTTTCTCTGCAGCTTTGGAGTCTGTCCTGGAACTCACTCTGTAGGCCAAGCTGGCCTCAGACTCACAGAGATCTGCCTGTCTCTGCCTCCAGAGTGCTGGGATTAAAGGTGTGTGCCACCACTGCCTGGCCCCTCATTTTTTTTTAGATCTATCTATGTGTCTGTCTATTTATTTATTTGTTTATTATGTGCCTGCACACCAGAAGAGGGTGCCAGATCTCATTATATATGGTTGCGAGCCACTGTGTTGTTGCTGGAAATTGAACTCAGAACCTCAGCAAGGGCAACCAAAGAACAGTCAGTGCTCTTAACTTCTGAGCCATCTCTCCAGTCTCTCCTCTTTTCCTAGTCCCATGGTTCTGTTGACTAGATCTTTTGAGTGTGTGTGGGGCACACTCTGACCGCATCACTTCTGCACTAATACATGGGCAGAGGCTCTACATGTGTAGATGGGATAGCTTTATGGAGAATCTTCACTGGGGACTGGGAATGCCTCTGCCAGGGACTGACAAGCAAGAGGGAGGAGGTTTCCAGGGGTCCTTCTCATTGCAGGACCATTGGCCCGAAAATAGCCCACCAGGTGACCAGAGCTAGGCTAGAGATCTGACTCCAGGGTTCAACCCCCAGGATGCAGTTCGTCACCAGGTAAACCTTTCTTTACTGAACCTACTCCTTCCCGTCCGGTCAGTATAGGTAGTGTGCACCAGCTTCGTGTGTGCCTTCCCTTCCCTAAAGCCAGAACAGGCAGAAGGGGAACCCTGGGAAACAGACACGCAAGTGGAGCGAAGGTGAATATAAAGGTCTCTCAACCTGGCTCAGACTCTGTGTGTATGTGTGTGTGTGGGGGATCCTCAAATGCATTCTTTCTCAAGAACCCCTAGCAAACCCTCATGTTAGGTGTTATCAATTAGGTTTTACCTGTGAAGATGGGGAGACTCAGGGAAAGGCTGGTGACAGATGCCTAGTTGGAACTTTAGGAGTCCTTATCCCCACCCCGACCCTTTCACCCCGACAGATACAGAGGAGGCTGTATCTCCTATTTTGGAGTGGGGCTGGGTCACCATCAGGGGTTCTGTGGTGCTCTCCAAGTCCTACACTCAATCTGAGTGGGCTTTGCTTACTTTAAGGGCGGAGCTTGGAAGGTGATGAGAAGACGCGCCCAGATCAGCGGCACCCGGTCCCCGCCCCAAGCCGGGGCTTGCTCTCCAGCTCATCGCGTCATCTGGAGGGTATGTGGAGTTCCCGCATGGGGCCGCCAGAGGGCGCCGCAGACAGAGCAGGGGTCGGGGAAGTCGGGGCTCCCCGCGAAGCCGGCAGCCTCGTGGGTCCACCGCTGAGGGTCAGGGAGCCAGGATTCCGGGGTGCCCGAACACCAGGAGTGAGATGAACGTCCAGGGTGCGACGGGTCCACCATGGTCCCCCGATCCTCCCTGGCTTGTCGTCGCCTTTTGAGGTCCACACAGAGAGGGCAACCCTGGGGACGCGACTGGAACAGGTGTCTGACCCTGGACATCTAGAGCCCAGGCTGAAAAAGAGGATAGTGGAGCTTGCAGGCGCCCGCCAGGGGCATAGGGGCCCCCCCACTGCTGTGGCCACGCCCCTCAAAGACCCCGCCTCCATGCCCCGCCCGTCCCGCCCCCTCCCTGCCGCGCGGTGGGAGACCCGGGGGCCTCCGCAGCAACCCAGTCCCGCCATGAGCCTGAGCATTGCCTCGCTCCTACCTCTGCTGTTTCTGCTGGGACCACGGCTCCAGGCTGCGGGTGTCACAGAGCCAACGCTGCCCACTGTGGTCCTTGCTATCCTGGCCCGCAATGCCGAGCACTCTCTGCCCCACTACCTGGGCGCACTGGAGCGCCTGGACTACCCCCGGGCCAGGCTGGCCCTCTGGTGAGAGATCCATGGGTGGGCATATCTGGGCATCAAGTCCCAGGATCCAGGACAGCCTTTGACCGGGAGGCCTCGTAGCTCCTGCCCAGACACCACCCGGGCAAGCTCCTCCCTCCCAGACATGCCCGTAGGGCCTCAAGCCCTTCAGCGGGGTCCCTAAGCTGTCGGGGGGAGGGGGCCGGGGGGGGGGGGCAAGGGCAGACCTCTGAGGACGCGGGTCGGCTCAAGGACATCCACCCCTCCTTTGGGCCTCCTGCTCATCCCTGGCTTACCCTGGGTTAAGGTTAGGCCTGTCCTTTCTGACCCAGCCCTTGGAGCTCACACTGCATCTCAGTGGGGGACCTATGGTCAACTTGATTCGGAGTAGAACAAGCAGGAGCCTTGGAACAAGGATCGGTCAGACTGGAGTTTTCTAGAGAGCAGGTGGAGGGAGCCCTCAGCTCCAGGCTGCATGCTGGGTAGGGGCATCAGGCTGAGACCCTTCCCCAGTGGTACTGCCTCTCTCTCCAGGTAGAGGGACTGGTGGGTTCCTGGTGGGGCTACGGTCCCATAGGCCGCTGGGCACAGAGGTTACAGCAGCCTGTCTGTGAAAGTCTAAACAGGGAGGAGCCCAAGCCGAGGCTGGAGATAACTGCTCCTCAGAGCACACCAAAGTTGGGCTGGGGTGGAGCTGTGGCCCGGGGAGCTGCCCACAATCACCACAGTTTGGGAGTTAGTTCCCACCCTTGTAGGACTTGACACGTAGTTAGTCTTCACTTGTGGGGAACTGGCTTAAAGGGGCAGTATCGCCTAAAATCTGGGCTCCTGACTAAGTGTCCCACCTCTGTTATGTGAGTCCCTTCCCCAACAGAGGGAAAACTGTGTTCCATGGTAACAGAGCACGGGCCTCCAGCATTTTCCTGGGTTACTCAGAGCGTGGTGTCGCCCTCAGCACCACTCAGGGTAGAGAAACTGTTTTGTTTGACTCGGAGATGGAAAGGGCCTGGCTTGTGGTGCCAAGAAGACAGAAGGCAATGAGGGGACGTAGCAGGTGCAGTCTCAAGGTCAAGTGCGTCTTTCACAGGGCATCAGGCTGAGGCTGTGGCTCAGTGGTCGGGGTGCTCGCTGTGTACAAGTCCCTAGGTTCAATCCCAGCACAATGCCCAAAATTAGAAGGGAGGATGTGAAGCACTGAGAGGGGCAGAACTTGCCCGAGGTCACACAGCGCATCTCCGGCCCCCCTCCACTGCAGTATGCCTCTCCTCCACAGCTCTCAAGATAGATCAGACTTGGGGGTGTCCAAGGGCACTTCAAAGGCAAGTACACCTCGGGGTTCCGGCCCTTCGGTGGCCGTGGTCTCTCAGTCTTCCTGTCCTGTGCCCTCAGGTGTGCCACAGATCACAACGTGGACAACACCACAGCGATGCTGCGGGAGTGGTTGGCTGCTGTGGGCGGCGACTACGCGGCTATCGTCTGGAAGCCTGAGGAGGAGGCCAGGTGACCCGAGGGCAAGGGTTCTGGAGACTATAGAAAGCAGCTGTTACCAGTGTCAGCCAGTCCCCAGAACAGGTTGTCCACTGCCCTGCAGAGGAGAATGTCTCACCTCTTTGCCCCCTCCCCAGGTCCTACCCAGATGAACAGAGCCCCAAGCACTGGACCAGAGAAAGACATCAGTTTGTGATGGAGCTGAAGCAGGAAGCCCTGACCTTTGCCAGGGCCTGGGGAGCTGACTACATCCTGGTGAGGAGGCCTGGCCTGGGATTAGGTAGGAGCGGGAGGTACCAGTAACCCCGACGGAAGTCTTGGTTATGACCAAACCCCAGGCTGGATTATGAGCGGAGACCCTGCAGTTAAGCTCATACTGGGACATACCTTAGTTGATGTGCTGTGCCTAGCCTGAATCCCAGGACTAGAGCACAGAGTAGATTTTTAAAAATTATTTATTTTTGTTTTATTTATGTATTTATTTATTTGCTTTTTCAAGACAGTTTTTTTTTCTGTGTAGCTCTTGCTGTCCTGGAACTCACTTTGTAACTGGTCTCAAACTCAAATATCTGCCTGCCTCTGCCTCCTGAGTGCTGGGAGTAAAGGCGTGAGCCACCACTGCTCTGGGTTTATTTTTGTTTTCTGTCAGCCTGTACATCTGTGCAGCTTGTGCATGCAGTGCCCAGAGAGGCCAGAAGAGGGCATCAGATCCCCTGGAAATGGAGCCACACTCAGTAGTGAGCCACCATATGGTTGATGGAAGAGCCCAGGACTTTTCCCCTCAGAGCAGTTCTGTGGGTCTCCTCTAGGCTAGATCTCAGATAAGCTTCTCAGAGCCACTCCCTGGTCTACTCAGTGATAATGTCTCAGCTCGGCCTCTTGTCAGAAGCGGACTGTGTTGGTTAGGTCTCCCCACACCAATTACTTGTATCCTGTGTGTATGTGTGTAAATGCACACGCATTATGGTATGTGGACGCCAGGGACAGCTTTCAGAGTTGGCTCCTTCCTTCTACCATGTGGCTTTGAGGCCAAAGTCAGGTCGTCAGGCTTGGCAGCAAGTGCCTTACCTCTCCAGCCACCTCTCTGGCCGCCGTCAGAGCCATCTGTGGGCACAGGCGCCTCGAGCCACTCTAAGGAATTCCCACTCAGTGAGCTCTTTGGTCCTGAAGCTCAGGATTTTTTCTTCCTGTGACATCTTCCTTTCCCAAAGTTCGCAGACACAGACAACATTCTCACCAACAACCAGACTCTGCGGCTTCTCACAGCACGGCAGTTGCCGGTGGTGGCCCCAATGCTGGACTCCCAGACCTATTACTCCAACTTCTGGTGCGGGATCACACCCCAGGTGAGGATGGGAGGACTCCGAGAGCACAGATTCTGAGGCTTCAGGGCCTTTGGGCCTGGATAGGCCTGGGCCTCAGCCCCAAACCTGCCTTTCGCCTTTCTTCAGGGCTACTATCGCCGCACAGCTGAATACTTCCCTACCAAGAACCGCCAGCGCCAGGGCTGCTTCCGGGTCCCTATGGTCCACTCTACCTTCCTGGTGTCCTTGAAGACTGAAGAAACAGCCCAGCTGGCCTTCTACCCACCTCATCCCAACTACACTTGGCCTTTTGACGACATCATTGTCTTTGCCTATGCCTGCCAGGCTGCTGGTGAGGACCGGGCCTCCTCGAGCCTTGCTTGGAGGCCCCTGGGGTTTTGCACCCTGTTTAGCATACCATTTTCCACCCCACATTTCGTCCTGTCAAGTCCTGTTGGTTCTTTGGGCCCTAACCTGTCTTATGTCTCTTGCCCAGCAGAGGAGACAGGCTCTGGCTGTTCCTGTCTGGGCAGTCAGTTACTGCTTCACCGGGCAGGTGCCTGTGGAGCATCCACTGGTGATGTGTGGCAGTCAGGCAGAGGACTTCACAAACCAGTATCCAGTCATGACTGACAAGGAGGCCTTGATTACATGTGTGCTGACAGCTCAGGCCAGAGTGAATTTAGTCAGAGAAGACCTCAGGAAGGAAGGAAACTCTTGGGCTGGCATCCAAAGTCTGGGTAGGCAGTAATAAGGCAAACAGCAAGTACCCTTAGCTTCTGAGCCATCTCTCACACATGCTCAGTCGAGTTGTTTTGTCCAAAGGTTTATCATTTATTATTTATTTATCTATTTACTTATTTATTTATTTATTTGTGTGTGTTTTTTTTTCCAAGACAAGGGCTCACTATGTATCGCTGACTGTCCTGGACTCATTCTGTAGACCAGGCTGGCCTTGAACTCAGAAATCCACCTGCCTCTGCATCCCAAGTGCTAGGATTAAAGGCGTGCACCATTATACCTGGCATTATTATTATTATTATTATTATTTTGGTTTTTCGAGACAGGGTTTCTCTGTGGTTTTGGAGCCTGTCCTGGAACTAGCTCTTGTAGACCAGGCTGGTCTCGAACTCAGAGAGATCCGCCTGCCTCTGCCTCCCGAGTGCTGGGATTAAAGGCGTGTGCCACCACCGCCCGGCCATTATTATTTATTTTTATGCTATGTGCATGAATGTTTGCCTGTCTGCGTGTATGTATGTGTACCTCATGGATGCAGTGCCATGGGAGGCCAGAAGAGGGAATCAGACACCATGGACTGGATTTAAAGGTAGTTGTGAACTAAGTAAGGTCTTCTGCAGGAGCAGCAAGTGCTTTTCATTGCTGAGCCATCTCTCCCTCACCCCATAATAATAATAACAATTATTGTTGTTGTTGTTTTTTTAAAAAAACTTTTTTTATTTACCTTTATTATGTTCGTTGGTGTGAAGGTGTCAGATCTCATGAAACTGCATTTTCAGACAGTTGTGAGCTGCCATGTGGGTGCTGGGAATCAAACCCGGGTCCTCTGGAAGAGCAGTCAGTGCTCTTAACCGCTGAGCCATCTCTCCAGCCCCCTGTTGTTTGTTTTTTCGAGACAGTGTTTCTCTGTGTAGCTTTGGAGCATGTCCTGGAACTCACTCTGTAGACCAGGCTAGCCTCAAACTCACATAGGTCTGCCTGCTTCTGCCTCCTAAATGCTGGATTAAAGGTGTGCACCACCACCTGGCCTGTAATTATTTTTAAGAGGAAAGTTACTTAGAAAGGAAGTGTTTAGGTATGTGTGGGATAAATCCAATTCCAAGAAATTTGGCCCAGCACTCCAGATCTCCGTGAGTCAAGGTCATCCTAGGCTACATGAGGAGTTCCAGGATAGTTAAGGCTACAAAGTGAGACCCTGTCTCCATCTGCCCTCCCCCTACCAAAAATACCCCAAGAATCCCAAGGAAGAGCTGAGGATAAGATTAAGGCAGTGATGCTGGACACCGTGCTTGAGAAGGCTGCAGCACTGGGGTTTGAACTCAGACCGAGGCTGACTTGTAGCTAGGACTCTGACTGTCTGGTGTTGGGGAAACTGTACTGGGGGTCAGGAAGGGTTAGAGGTGTCTATCAAGCCCCAGAGCAAGCAGTGTCCTTAGGGTGCTGGTGAATCAGAAGGGGTGTTGATTGTTTTGCCCCCGAGGTGTTGGAGAAGTCTGCAGTGTGTAGACAAGTAAGACTAGAACTACTGGAGATGTGGCCTGGTGCCCTCATCAGTGTGGCAAAACTGAGTCCCAGACAAGACTTGGGGCCAGGTGGTGGTGGCGCATGCTTTTAATCCCAGCACTCGGGAGGCAGAGGCAGGTGGATCTCTGTGAGTTAGAGGCCAGCTTGGTCTACAGAACAAGGTTCAGGAAAGCCAGAACTGTTACACAGAGAAACCCTGTCTCAAAAAACAAAAACAAACAAACAAAAAGATTTGGGTCACTGGTGGTGTCTCCTGACAGACTCACCCCAACGCCAGCACTCAGGGGAGCCTTTCTGCAGGGGTCTCAGTGCACGTGTGCAATGACCATCGCTACGGGTACATGAACGTGGCAGTGAAGCCCCACGAGGGGCTGGAGGAAGAGAAGACCAACTTCATCCATCTGATTCTGGAAGCACTGGGTGAGGCTGGGGCCCCTTCCTTCCCACAGTGCTCCTTGTCTAGGTGTAGATTTAAGCGTGTCTGGGTGCCTGCCTTGCTTTGAACTCGTGTCATGACAGTGAGCGAGTCCCTTTCCCTGTGGCACCTCAGTCTTCTGATCTGTAGAATGGGGTAGCAGCTCAGGGAGCCCATCCTGTTAGGTGTTCTGCTGGAGTGATAGGAGTGAAGCTGGGGCTCTGTCTGTGACCAGAAGCCAGTAGGGACTCATGCCTGGGGTCGGGGCTGTTGTTTCCTTTTACAGTGGATGGACCCCCTATGCTGGCCTCAGCTCATGTGTCTCAGCCCCCAAAGAAGCCCAACAAGATGGGATTTGATGAAGTATGTCCCCAGTCTATCGGGTTGGGGTCGGGTGAATGAGCTACCCTCTCTAGACTTACCTCTGCTTCCTCTAGGTCTTTGTCATCAGCCTGGCCCGCAGACCCCAGCGCCGGGCTCGGATGCTGACCTCTCTCTGGGAGATGGAGATCTCTGCTCAGGTAGTAGATGCTGTGGATGGCAGGTGAGGCTCCCACGGATGGGTCTCAGGGACCATAAAACCCACCTGAGATCCTAGGAGTGGGCAAACAGAACAGTTGCATGAACATCCTAAACATCCAGGAGGTAGCCACATGGGGCCTGGGGCCTGCTGTCTCAGGAGTTGCCAGCACAGGCCGGCAGGATGAGATGTCCTCCCGCAGTCCACCCGAAGGCAGTGAGAGGGCTCCAGGGCCTGGGTTGAGGCCTGTCACGTACTGGCTGTATGAACCCTCTCAAGCTGGCCCATCTGTCAGCCTCTTACAAAAGATGTACCTCAACATGCTTGGTTCTTGTGGTCCAGTGAGACACTTAGGCAGGATCCAGCACCTAGAAAGTACCCCAGAGGGCGGGTGGCCAGTCTCAGGGATGTTCTAGAGTTAGGCCCCTGAGGGGCCGGAGTGTGGAGTGTGCAAGAAGTGCGGCAGTGTTCCCCAGGGATCCAGAGGCCACGTTATTGCTACCAGGGTCACATGGTCCATATGCCAGCAGCTGTTTGCTTCAAACCCCCAGGTCCTTTTTGTTCACATGTATAAAAAGTATTTTATGTATATAAATAATACATAATACACAATTTTACATAAATAACATGCTTTGATCATATTTCTCCATTATTCTTTTGAGGTTTATTTAGAAATTTTTTAAGTGGCACACATGTGCCATGGTGTTCCTGTGGCGGTCAGAGGACAAGTTTTGGGAGCCATCCTCTCCTTCCACTGTGGGACCAGGGGACTGAATTCACATTCTCAGGATTTCAGGTCAAACACTGTGTCCCACTGAACCATCTCACTGGTCCTTGGCTTGGTTTTTTCGAGACAGGGTCTTGGAGCTGAGTTTGGTCTTGAACTTATTGTATAAATGAGGATGGCATTAAATCCCTGACCCTTCTGCTTCTACCTCCCAAGAGCTGGACTTACACAGGTGCATCAGGAGTTGCTTTATTCTGTCTGTGTATGCACCTCGCTCCTTCCCTCCTTCCCACTCAATATAGGATCTTGCACAGACCTGACTGGCCTGGAATTCACTGTGTAGACCAGGCTTGGCCTCAGGTCCACAAGGATCTGCCTGCCTCTGTCTCCCAAGCTCTAAGATTACAGGCCTGCACCATTATACCTGGCTGTCTTGTGGGATGTCTGTCCTTTCCTGGACCTTGGTGCAGGAATTCTCTAGCAGGTTGTCCACTCGTCCTGGGCTGCCTCCCCCTGTACAGATTCCAAAGTCCCCTCTCCTGAGGCTTCCTTACGGAGGCTAGAGTTCTAGGTTAGAGGCTGAATCCAGACCATGACAGCTTCCAGCCACACGGAGTTACAAAGCTGGATCCTCCCCTACAGCAGGCTCCTGTGTGATTCCAACACCTATAGGGAGGCCCCTCTGGATGGGGGCTCTGCTTGGCACGTGTCACCCCACTTATGCTTGTGTCTCGTAGGACACTCAACAGCAGCATCCTTAAGCACCTGGGTGTGGACCTGCTCCCTGGCTACCAGGACCCTTACTCGGGCCGCACACTGACCAAGGGTGAGGTGGGCTGCTTCCTCAGCCACTACTCCATCTGGGAAGAGGTGAGGATACTTGCCCTCTGGCGCATGCCCTTCAGGGACAGCAGAGAGACTGGCTGTCTTAGTCATTGCTGCGTGTCAGGCACACAGGTGGTTGAGCCACTGTGTGAATAAATGCACCCAGAAAAAAGGCTCACTGGACCTTCTTTGTGGTCAACGCTTCCCTGGCACCCCCGAGAGGTGACCTTATTCATTCTATCGTCTCTGGCGAGCACTGGCTGTTCCCTAAAAGGGACTCTTGTCTGGTAACACAGGGGACAAGTAAACCGTGTCTGTCTCATTCCTACAAGGGAGAGACCCTATGGGTGGGGAGATGGCTCAGTGGTAGAATGCTTGCTGGGGAAACAGGAGGACCAGAACACAGATCCAGGTTCGGTGAGTGACTCTGCCTCAAAAATTATGGCAGGTGCTACCTTTAATCCCAGTACCCGGGAGGCAGAGGCAGGTGAATCTCTGTGAGTTTGAGGCCAGCCTGGTCTACAGAGCAAGTTCTAGGACAGCCAAGGCTACACAGAGAAACCCTGTCTCAAAAATTGAAAAGGGGGGGGCTGGAGAGATGGCTCAGTGGTCAAGAGGACTAACTGCTCTTCCAGAGGGCCCGGGTTCAATTCCTAGCAACCACATGGCAGTTCACAACTGTCTGTACCTCTAGTTCCAGGGGATCTGACACCTTCACACCAATACACATAAAATAAATTAAAAAAAAAAAGATGTCATGCCATAGAGAAAGACACCCTGACATTGACCCTGGTCTCCAAATGTAAGCACGGACGCACATAAAAGGAAGGAAACAAGCTGGGTCTCAGAAATCAGGAGAGGCTCAAGGCTGCATTTGGTGGAAGCGGTGCAGGTGGTTCTGTCAGTCTGCCTTGCCTTGGGGTCAGGGAAGGCAGGGAGAAAGAAGAGCCTTCCAGGCCGTACACTCAGGTACATGCTAGGCTTCAGTCTCTGGCTGGGGCAGCAGCATTGAGAACTGGAGGGCACTGGGTCCCCGAGGGTGCCCCCTCCAGGAGGCAGTGTGCATAAACCTTGTTTTTCTTCCGTTGCCGGGGAGTGTGTGGTCTTGTTTCTGTTTGCCATCTGTGAGCAGACTGAAAGAATGACCCAGTTGGCTTTCTACCCAGATGGTTTCACATTCTTTCCACATTTTCCATAGTTACAAAAGTAGCTTTTCTTGGTGATTGTAGGGGCTGGAATCTCTTACACTCCCTACCCACCCAGCTTCAGGTGACAAACAGAGCATGCATGGATGCACCTGTGCTTCTCCGAGGCTGAGCAATGGCACAGGTTCCTGGGAGAGCGTAGTTTTCAGTAACTGTAGCCAAAAGTCATGACTGTCACCATGAATCTCCTGTCAGCTACACCAGGGTGTGGGAACTCAAGGGTCTTGAATGTCAGAGCAAGAGGAATTCAGTCCCCACCAGTGGGAGCTCCAGCAGGCTTTGGGGTAGCTACATGATATTGCCAGGGCTTGGTATGTGGCACTTAGCCAAGAGGGGTGTGCTGGCCTGAGTCCAGGCAGGTAGGAACAGGGCAGCTCAGATCTGCAGAGTTTTCTCCCCTGTCATGTGTCCCACAGGTGGTTGTAAGGGGCCTGGCCAGGGTTGTGGTGTTTGAGGATGACGTCCGCTTTGAGGACAACTTCCGGAGGCGGCTGGAACAGCTGATGGAGGACGTGGTGACCCAGAAGCTTTCGTGGGACCTGATGTAGGCAGACTCTGGGGTCTGCTTCTGCTGGGATCCTAGCTAGCACTTCCCACATAGCCTGGCCTTAGCATACCTGTGGGAGGGCCAGGATACCCCAGGCTCTATAGTGACCCTGTCACCCTCGGTGTCGTTTGCAGCTACCTTGGCCGGAAGCAGGTGAACCCTGAGGAGGAGGTGGCCGTGGAGGGTATGCCAGGTCTGGTGGTGGCTGGGTACTCCTACTGGACATTAGCGTACACCTTGAGCCTGTCAGGCGCTCGCAAACTGTTAGCCTCCCGGCCTCTGCAACGCATGCTGCCTGTGGATGAGTTCCTGCCCATCATGTTTGATCAACACCCAAAGTGAGAACTGGGTGGGGAAGGGCAGGGTCATTCTAGCCAGGGGCCCACTACAGAAAACCCTCACTAGGCAGCTGAAGAGAGGGAAATGGTCAAGGTTCACCCATGTGGCCTTGGTGAACCCACTCAAAAGTTGCCCAGGTACCAGGCCCAGCTAGATGTGAACACTGTGCTGTCCATTCTCATGTGGGTTCTATTTTTAGATTTATTTTTAATTTTGAATTATGTGCATCTGTGTGTGGGTATGTGTATATGAGCGAAGGTGTCCAAGGAGGCCAGAAGAGTGCACAGATCCCCCTACAGTTGGACTTACAGGCAGTTGAGAGCCACTTGTGTGGGTGCTGGAGCCCTGAACAAGCAGTGAACACTCTTACAGGCTGAGCCATCTCTCCAGCCCCTGTGCATGTGGTTTTCAATCCTATGGCTCAATACTGAGCCTCAGTGCCCTCATCATGGGGTATTAACGAGTAGCCGTGAGGACTAACGGGGCAGGGCAGAGGTAGAGCAGACAGCTAAGGCCCCAGCTCCGGATGAGCATCACAGGGTCTAGGAGGAGAGTTGCTCCAGTCCACCTAAGCTTTCTTCTCTCACCCACAGTGACCAGTACAAGGCATACTTCTGGCCTCGGGACCTCCAAGCCTTCTCAGCCCGGCCTCTGCTTGCCTCCCCCACCCACTATGCGGGAGATGCTGAGTGGCTCAGTGACACAGAGACATCTTCCCCCTGGGATGATGACAGTGGCCACCTCATTAGCTGGACTGGCTCTCAGAAGACTCTCCGCAGCTCCCACCTGCACCTGGCTGGCAGCAGTGGATATAGCCTCCATCCTCACCCCAGGGATGAGCTCTAGGTGAGGCTGGGCCTGGAAGAGGACCAGTCCATGGTCCCTTTCTTTCCACCTTAGCTCCCTGCTTCTCTTCCCTCCTCCTCCTCCTCCACCCCCATCTCTTGAGCTCTTCCTCTTGATTTCTCTAGCTTTGTCTCCATCTGTCTTGTGTTTGTCTGTCTGTCTGCCTCTCTCCACAGCTGTTGGTGTCTCTGTCTGACTCTCTCTTGTTCCCTTCTTGCCCCCTCAGCCTCTAGTCGACAAGGTCCGAGTTGGAACTCCAAAGGAGCAACAAGAACAGAGAGGAGTCTCAGCAGAAGCCTGACTGTTCTCTTGGGCTCCACCATCTTCCACTTCTGGAGCCTCCCAGGTTGGGAAAGCTACTCTGAGATAGTCCATCCCCTGAATGTCAGAACGAGAAGACAAGACTCAGACTCTTGATTCCACACACAGATTTGGAGCCCAGTGGGCTCAGGAACAGGGAGGCCCCAGCCTTCGGGTTTCAAGCTGGCCAGACCCTAGAATCCTGACTCCTGCCCTCTCTGAGGACTCAGCTGCTGGAGCTACCTTGCCTCCATCTACCTCCACCTCAGCCCCGTCCCTGGCTTCACATCTGGGGCTCACGAGCACCCTTCTCCCTGGCTGGCAGAAAGTGCGGGAAGGCGGGAGGCACACCTGGTGCCTGGCACACAGTAGGCCTTCAATAAAAGTCCTCTGCATTGGCACTTTATACTTCACTAACAGCTGTGAGCCTCTCTGCATCTCACCAGGCCCAGGCAGGAGATCCCTGAGTTAGAGACAGAGAGTGAGGGCAGAGGAAGAGTGCTAAAGTTGGCAGGTGCTTGCTTCCTGGCTGGGCATCCATGTCACCTTTGGTAGGTGGAGGTATAGCTTCTGAGCAGAATGGGCACTCACGGCACCCTCAGCCTTTGCTCATCAGCTTGGGCCCGGTCAAGGTCCAGCCAGAGGTTACCCCCACTCCTGCCTTTTGGATTTCTGCTCTGTGACTGCAATCCTTGTGTCCATAAGGAGCCCAGTACTGTGCTGGGGAGATCCCGGTTCTCTTCGGGACCTAAGGAATAGACCCACCAGAAGGCACCAGCTGGCAGGGTGCTTGCCTTGTGGGCCAGGTTCTTTCCTTCTTCTGAACCCACAATGGAGAAGGGAGGATGGGGAATTTAGAGTCAATCCAGCCGAGGCAGCAGAGATGTTATAGGCTACTCCACATGCTGCACCCTTCTGCTTGGGAAGTGGGGTACTCCCCTTCCACTAGTCACAAAGGAACAGGTCTCCGGGCGAACCAGCCTTCAGGCGCTTGTCCTTAGCTGACTGTAAGATCGAGGGGAAGGAGACTCCTTGTCTTGATCATGGCTGCCTTAGCTCCTACCAACACAAACGGTTCTCTCCTTCAGAGGCGTCCTTTTCCCACCTGTCTTCCATGTTCCTTTGGACGTGAGTTATATGAGTGCCCTGTCGTGGCAGAGTCCACTGGTACCCCCTGAGGTTGGGCTCTCAGCGGGTTCTGTCCTTGGGTGAGGACCTGCCTTGGCTCCGAGGACTCTCAGAGCTGAGGGTGAGATGCTCTTTTGAGGGTGAAAACCGTTACCTCTGGGTGGCTGTGATCAGGAGCAAGTAACATTTCATTCATTCTGCGGAATTTGATGAACTCGGGGACTGAGATGGGACACTAAGGATTCGGCAGTAAATGGGACAGACAGGAAGGAGTTGGCAGGTGCCTGGCTGTGGAGCCCTGTCCAGTGCTGAAGACAAAAAAAAAAAAAAAAAAAAAAAAAAAAAAAACAACTACAAACCACTGAAAGCCCGACAGCGGGGCTTGGGAAATGCCTCAGCAGTCAAGAGCACGGGCTGCTCATCCAGAGGACCTAGGTTCATTTCCCAGCCCCACTTGGCAGCTCACTACTGTCTGTAACTCCACTTCCAGGAGATCCAACTCCTTTCTCTGGCCTTCTTGTACCTGCACTAGTATGTATGCACACACACATAAATATTTAGAAGATAATAAATCTTACAAAACAAAAGTAAGTCGGGGTGGTGATATTCTTGGACAGCAGAGGCAGGAAGATCTCAAGTTTGAGGTCAGCCTAGTTCTCATACCCAGACCTAAGGATTTGTGTTTTTATTTTTTTGTTTTCAAAGCAGAGTTTCTCCACGTAGCACTGGCTGTTCTGAAACTCACTATGTAGACCAGGCTGGCCTCTGCCTCTTGAGTGCCGGGATTAAAGGCATGCGCCATCACACCTAACTGATTTGTGTTTTTAAGAAGTTCCCTAGTGCGGCTGATGCTGTTAGATCATGGACCACACTCAGATTATAGTACCATCACTGAGTTCAGCATCTATCCAAGGCTAAAGGGCAGTGAGGGGGCAGCTCAGAGAGTCCAAGAAGGCCAAACCTTGAGGACCTGGGAGAGTTTCTTCCAGACTCTCCATCAAGTCTGGAAAGCACCAGAAGACAAAGCCAGACCCACTCCCTTCGTAGCACTGATTCCCTCTCCCCAGGTCAAGGCTGTGGCAGTTGCGTCAGCGCTCTGGAGCAGGTGTTCCTGCATGGAAACAGCCTAATCAGGCCCTTGGGTAAATGGAGAGACCTCAGCCAAGGGGACTATAATAGATATCCCTCAGTACAGAGTTTTGTGGCTGGGGCCAGGGACTGGAGCCTTCAAAACTCCCTGGAATTCACAGAAAAGGAAGGAATATATAGGAATATTTAGGTAGCTGTAGGATGATAGTTTTCCTCTTGGCCCTAAACTTTGAATATGAGTTTTATTTTACTTTATTTTTTTCAAGACAGGGTTTCTCTAGTAGCCCTGGCTGTCCTGGAACTTGCTCTGTAGACAGGCTGGCCTCCAACTCACAGAAATCCTCCTGCTTCCTGAGTGCTGGGATTAAAGATGGCCACACTGGCACTGCCTGGCCTTTACAGGAGTTTTGACCTGAAGCTCACCAGAACCTGTTTGGTGCCAGGCTCTGCAGGACAGGAAGATGTGGTTCTTGCTCAAGAGAGCATCCAGCATAGGTAGTGATGAATCTATATGTAGGTTCGTGGCATGTATGCTGGACCCACACACAGAAGGGAACTGAGAACTCCTCCTTTCAGGCTGACCCACAGGTGACTGCAGGGAGGAGGGAGCAATCAGAAGGCTTCTACCGATGCATGGTGTCTTAGTCAATGTTCTGTTGCAGTTTTGTTTTTCTCTATGAAAATAAGGAACTTAACCCATGTAGCCACCACCAGAGACAGACGCCCTGGCCCTGGAACCTTGCTGAGAATTTGCTTTGGAGGTGGAGTCTTACTGTGCAGCACAAGCTGGTCTTGAATTGGAGATGTTCCTATGTCAGCTGCATGAGTGTGGGATTACAGCTCTATGCCTCCAAACCTCCAAGCCTGGCTCCAGTTCCACTCAAGGATTTTCTTTCAAAAAATACCCACAAATTTCAGGAATTTGCATGTAAATATTTTTAGTTAAAAAAAAATAAGGAACTTGATGTACAGAATGCAGACGAAGCAAAAGTAGCAGATAAGCTACTGTTGGTCATAGTCTAGAGATAGATTGCTGGACAGTGGAGGGAGTTTATAGAATTTATGTGGTACTGAAACAGAATCTAGGGTTTTGCTCATGTCAGGCCGGGCCTCAACCATTGAGCCTTTTCCCATTGCTGGGCTGTAGATTTGATCTTGCAGAACCTCAGAATGGTAAGGTTATGACTGAGGGATCCAGACTGGCTTCCAACTCATGGTAATCTTCCCGCTTCAGCCTCTTCATTGCTGAGATTACAGGCATTAAAACAAATAATAATAATAAAGACTTGGTACGGTGGTCATTCCTTTAATCCCAGCACTTGCGTGTCCGGGGCAGGCTGGCGGAGCGAGCAGCCAGTCTCAAGAAGCTGGCGGCTGCCGGTCCCGGAGCTGTGGCCCAAGCGGTGATCTATGTAGCTGCTAGCGCCAAAGGGCTGCAGGTTCCCAATAGCAGGCAGGCGCGTGTAAACAGACCCATAGACACAGAAAATAGCCATAAACATGAGAGAGAGAGAGAGAGAGAGAGAGAGAGAGAGAGAGAGAGAAAAGAAGAAGAAGAAGAAGAAGAAGAGAGAAGAAGAAGAAGAAGAAGAAGAAGAAGAAGAAGAAGAAAGAGAGAGAGAGAGAGAGAGAGAGAGAGAGAGAGAGAGAGAGAGGCAAAGACACCAGAAAGAGGACAGGGAGTTTTTCAGATGGGGCGAGTGGTCAGAGGGAGTGGGATGGAAAGGGGCGGGGACCAAAAGATTATCAGTAACACTCAGGAGGCAGACCCAGGTGGATCTCTCTGCTCAAGGGCAGCCAGAGCCAGGCCAGACGCACACCATGAACTGGCAAGGGTTGAAGAACAGATAGGACAATGTGAGAAGGGCTGAGGGTGAAGGTGGGAAAGCAGTTGAGGTTCACACTCCAGGGAGGAGCTAGTGGGAGCAGACTGCTGTGTTGTAGATCAGGGCGTCAAGGAAAGGAGGTCTCCCCGGCTCTGAGGTTGTTTAGGTCTCCCAGAATCCAGGGCGGCAACGTGAGCCACGAGACAGTCCCCCACGATTGGCTAATAGGGAAACATAGTTGAGAAGATGGCGGCTCAGCAGGGAGAACCTCAGCAGAGTAGGTCCGTACAGAGGCGGCGTTCGGCGTGCCGGAGGGCGGCGAGGGGCGTGGGGAGTGGGGCGTCTTCCTTCTGTTTGGGCGGTGTGGGATAGGGGCACAGTCTGGGTAGTGTGCACAAGCTGTCTGCACTGAGTGGACTAGGCACAAGGATGGCTTTCCAGAAGCCCCAGGCTGTCGCCTGTTCAGCCGTCCTCCTCTGCGCCCAGTTTCCTACTGTGTTTCGAGCGGGGCGCGTTAGGGCTCAGGAGTCGGGAGGACCAGGGCAAAAATGGCGGAGGGGACGCGGGGCTCTGAACGGTGGCACAAGATCAGGCAGGTCTGCGCGGGAGGCGTCGCGCGTCTCCCTGGCGACGGGGCGGTGGGCCGGCCGCGAGGCCCGGAAGTGGGCGGAGCGTTCCCAGTGGGGCGGGGCATCTCTGTGACGCTAGGGGCAGGGCCTAAATGGCGAAACCCGAGGGGCTCCGGGGGGGGTTTGAACTGGCCAATGGGCGAGCTGCCGACCGGTTGTCGGAAAAGGAGGCGGAAGCGGGGAGGAGCCGCCGCGGGAGCCGGACTGCATCCGCCGCGGCGTCTCCATGGCACGACCCTGGCCTCCGACTTCAACGACTTCATAAGGAGACGGTTCTGGGCGCAGCCGTGCCGCTCTTGGTGAGAGGCCGCGCGGCGGGGCGGGGCGGGGCGAAGAGCGCCGCGGGTTCAAGCCCCGCGCTCCCAGCCTGGGGCTGGCTCAACCGGGCACCGTCCCCGCGTCCAGGCGCGCTCCTTTCTGCGTCCGAACCCGGCCCGCCCCGCCCCTCGTTGGGCGCGGGCCCGTCCTCCTCCCGCTAACGGGCGGGCCGGCCGCCTCCGTCCTCTCCGGGCCGTCGGCAGGGCTCCTTCCCTCCTCTGCTGCCCTCGGGCAGGGCTGCGCCCTTCTATGGGCAGAACCCCATCCCCTCTTGCCCGCTGGTGGGTGGCCGTATGCCCCAGCCTCCCAGGAGGCCATTTCTGCTCCCTGCGGCCTGGGCCGCAGCAGTTACGTGTGCTCGGGGACCCTCCCGGCCAGCCCTGGGGATGCGGGCGGCCTTGGAGCTACCCCGCTGTCCCTGTCGCCCTGCCCTGACCGCCGCTCCTCCCTCTCCATCTATTGGTTCTCCTCGGTAGCTATTCTGCCGGGAACGCCCCTTCACCTAGGACACTGTTGCCCGGGCACCGCCCCGAATATCCCTCCATCTCCCTGCGCGGGTTCCCGCCCCTGGGGGCCCACTTGGGGCCTAGCAGTTCTCACCTTCTTCGCACGCCAGCCAGCCCTCAGGTTTAACCCCTGGTAGCTATCGACCCGCTCTACTTCCCGGGTGGGGCTTGGGCATGCTGGTCGTCGTTCCCCCTTTCAGTGACGCGCCCTCTCACTGTCAGGCCGCGCCCTCCACCTGCCTCCTGGCAGCTCACTCGGCACCCCGCAAGTCGCTCAGCTTCTCCTGTCTTCCCCCTCCCCACCTTGGCAGGACAGTTGCTGTGCGACTTGGACAGTAGAGGAGCGCCTCCCAAGTTTTCATCCAACTGCCACCCCCAAAGCTTCCACCCTCCTCCCCTCAGAGAGAGGACGTTTGATGCCTGGTCCTTGAGATTCTCATTGGCAAGCCCCTCTGTCCCCCTGAGCAGAGCCTGCCGACCCAATTACCCACCTTTGCGGCTTTGATGCTTAGCCATGTCTGCCTCATCCTCAGGCGGCTCCCCCAGGTACAGCCAATGTGGGGGGCGCCTTTGCAGTAGGGCAGGGAAAAATGGTCAGGGCTCCCCAGGCCAGGCTCAGTGGAAATTTGTCTTCAGTTTCCCAGGTACTGAAAGTCTGGACCAAAAACGCTTATAAGTGACTTTGAATAGCGAGGAGTAAAGACACACTGGCTCACCCCGCAGCTTTAACCCCTCCCCCCAAGACACCACAGCTTTCTAGTAGCAAACAAGATCACTCTTGTCTTAATGGAGTATTGAGGTCTGAGTTCAGCTTGGCTCAGATTCACTAGGCAACCAAGGTTGTCTTTAAACTCTTGATTCTCTTGCCTCTACCTTCCATGTGGTGTCTTGAAAGCATTTCCCACCATGCCACTTCTAAACTAGTGTCTCTAAAGTGAGCAGAAATTGTACAAGTAAGTAGAAGGGGGACGGGAACCGAGTTCCTAGTTTGGACAGTCTTCTAAATGACAGTCCAGCTCAGTACATAATAATTTGTAAGTGAGCTGAGCAAAATGCACACTGTGGTGCTATTCTTTTTCATGGTTCAGTATTTCCCCCACGGGTTTGTGAGGTCGGCAAAAGGCTGTTTGGGGACTGTGAGGAGACAGTGGGCTGTTAGATTTGATCA